TTAGAAGTGAACCATTTTATGAGATCTGTTGTCTGTCTTACAGACAATTCCAAATCGTTTCCATTTTGCCAAAGTGTAAAATGATTCTTCAGCTAAACTAGCATTGGACAAATAGTGCATTATGTTAAATTATGTGAGCGAATTCAGAAAGCTCTGAGGTTAAGCAAAAGTGCCCTTATGATTTAAAATTTTGGTTTCTTAGGAAGTATTGGGTGGTCTTTAGCTCCTGTCAAAAGTTTGATTGTGTGTGACTCATTCATAGCAGCTTTATCATAAATAATTCTGGTTTTGGAAATAGTAGTGATTTTTTTTTAAAGATAGAAACATACCATGTTAGAGTTTTCAATTATATGTTGTAGTTACATAATTTATTACTGCAATATATATTATGTTATCATTTGGGATTTTGTTTTTATAATTTTCCATGTAAAATACCTCACAAGATTTTATCAAGGCTTTCATTTATCTTTATAATTAGCAACAGATTCAAGTGTTTGACAAGAAGACAAGTTCCAAATTTTTTTTTCTCTATAAAGTGTATTGAGCAAATCTTCACTTTCAGTAAATACTCTTATTCCTCAAGATCTGCCCATGTAATTTTCAAACGAAGGTAAAGAAGTTTTGACTGAAATGGTTAGCACAAATGAAGGAATGTTTCATCTAGGCGAGGAGCTATTGGCAGCTGGTAGCTACTGAGGAAAGGAAGGGAAAATGCATTTCCTTTAGCTACAAGACACTGAATGGGTTTTACAAGCCTATATGACCAATGCTAATTTGACTGAGTAGACATAGGGTTTGCATGCACGTGTGTGTACTATTTATTAAACAATAATTACAAACGAAGAGGTCATGAATTCAAGAGGAGTTTGGGTGTCAGGAGAGGAGTTGAAGAAGATAAATACAGTGTACTTTTATATCAAATTATTTACAAATTGATATTAAAAATGAACGGGCTAAAGGAATTTGAATTCTATTCTTTACTTTGAGCTTATGTAATGTTTTTCATTAGTATGTATTATGTTTATTACTCTGTCACTTTATAGTAAATTAGTGATAGTATCTTAAGCCCAACTATGTGGTCTGTTTAAAAACACATTAAAAAAAAATAAGTGCATGGTGGCACACACCTCTAATCTCAACACTGAGCAGGTAGATAGAGGCAGGGATGTTCTTTGTGAGTTTGAGGCCAGCCTTGTCCATATAATGACTTCCAAGCCAGTCAGAGCTGGGCAGTGGTACACCATGTCAACAACAAACAAACACATAAACAAACAACAACAACACATGAAAAGGGCTGGAGAGATGACTAAGATCTTAAGAACTGTAGCTGACTTTTTCATGGACCACCAACCTGCTCACAAATAAAAACACAGAGACTTACTATTAATTATGAATGCTCAGCCTTTGCTTAGGCTTGTCCCATTAGCTCTTTTAATTTAACTGTTTCTGTACATCTACATTTTGCCTAGGGGCTTTTTACCTTTCTTTCATTCTGTATGTTGAACTTTTCTGCTTACTCTTGTTTCTGGCTGGCTAGCCCTTTTCGTTCTCCTTCCAATGCCTAAATTTCTCCTCCTATTTACTCTCCCTGCCTGGGAGTTCCACCTATACCTCCTCCCTCAGTATTGATCAGCTTTTTATTAGACCAGTCAGGGGCCTGAGGCAGGCAAGGTAAAACAGCAACACATCCTTACATAATTAAGCAAATGCAACATATCTTTGCATAGTAAAATATTCCACAACAAAGAGTAATCGATGCTCCTTCAGAGGACTGGGGTTTAGTTTCCAGCATCCATATGATGATTTATAAGCATCCATAACCCCAGTTATACAGGATCTGATATTCTGACTTCTGTGGGCAACGGGCGCATACATGGTAAAGACATACATTCAGGAATAACATTCAAACACATAAAATAAACAAATCTTTTTTAAAAACACACATTAAAGGCCAGTCTTGGCTTGTCTAAAAAACAGTGTTCTAGTATATGAGGTTTTAAAATTTTTCTTTATATATGTGTAATGTGAGATACAATTTCTGATAAACGTGGATTTATCAAAACATAATGAATTCAAATATCAAGATTAATTTAATACACCAAAAACTTTATCCTATCATAGAGACTATAATATCTCTAGTTAAATCATCCTGTGTACCTTTTTGCCATTCAGAGCTCTTTAGGAAACAAAGCAAAGAATGCTGTCAAGCCATACTAACCCAATCACACAAACACAAAGAGAGAACAAAGAAGTCAAAATGTGTTTCCTAATGGTTCATACAGTCTTACGTAACGTATCTATAGAATACTCACAGAAATAGTGGTTGAGGTTAGCTAGATTGCAGAAGACAAAGCCAGTATTTATGATTCAATTGTATTTTAGCACTGCACTGTAAAATAAAAAAAAAATAGTATCACATTTACTTCAGAAAGCACAAATTATTTGGAGATAACACACCAAAAAAAAAAAAAAAAAAAAAAAAAAAAAAAAAGCTTAAGGTCTGTGAGCTTAGAAAGTAACCATTAAGTAAGGACAGACACGTTCATGGATCAGATAAGCTCATATTGTCAAGCTCATATGACTTTTCAGAGCTCTTCCAGATCCAACCCCAGTGTGCCTTTCTGGAGAAAGTAGCCAGCTGATTACAAACTCAAGAACTCCTCACCTAGTTTCAGGATTTACTAAATAATAGCCATGGGAGTGTTGTATTGGAAGAATTGTAGACACATCTTGGTGGAACAAACTGCAAAGTCCAAAAATCATCCCATAAACACAGAATCAACTGATTTGACACACTGTGGTCTAGTAATTCAGTGTTTGTAAAGAAAAGTCTTTAACAAATGGTGTTGAAATCACGGGCTATTTGGAAAGAAAAAAACTACACATTATGCCTGAATATTAAATTTAACTTTGAGAAGAAATTTTAAATTAAAGGAAAATTTAATTATAAAGTAAAGACAAAAATCTTAGGAATTAGAATTCATTGAAAGACATCACTTTGTGTGTGTGTGATTCAACAGTTTATTCATGAAAATTTTGTCAGTATGCCATCAGGAGGTCTGTGTTTTTTATTGTGTTGAGAAATAGATGACAAGAATACTTGACAACTTCATCACATAGTTAAGTCTGAATTAATTTCCTCCACATGATATGGTAGATGGTCATCTGTTAAAGCAGAAACTGATGCTTGTTTTAAAGAATCATAGATAAAATTTGACAAGCTGAGATGGGAAAGCATAAACTGGGAGAGCATAATAGATTAAATACATAAATACACACTTTGTGTATACATATCTGCAAGATACATAGACAAGGATATGTACCAAAACATGTTAAGAGTCATTTCATCTCAATCATAAAAATAAACATCTCAATTTTTGAAACAATATTTCATGAAAGAAGAGACCTGGATGATAAAGTGTGAATGCTTAGAGTCATTGTCCTGAGAGCACTGGCATCAGCAGATGCCCCCAGATGCTCCACAGACTGCCAGCACTGGGTGTTGGTGAGGATGTGCAGCAGGCATGGGTCTGGTGCATTTTGAGGAGTCTACAAAGTGGCACCCACTTCTTCAGAAGGCAACGAGGAAACTCTTTGAAAGGTTGCACATGCATTTGTCATCTGACTCAACTTCATTATTATCTGCTAAAGGGGAATGAAAAAAATCTATAATGGCTAACGTGCAAATATTTATAGTAACTCCAAGAATAATATCTAAAACCCATCTAAATTTTAGAACTATTAATAGAAGAATACACGGATCAAACAGTAAAAAATTCACTAGATACCACAGTTCATTTAAGTGAAACTCTAGAAGATTTATGTGGAACCGGAGTGAAGTGATTTTCTAGAAAGCAGTATGAGGAAATGCTTTGGTTTGACAGAAGTTCCCTATATTTTCATTGATATAGTGATCACGAGCCTATATGCTTGTCATTCTTATTGAACCAAACATTTAAAATAGATGTGTCTTACTGAATATAAATTATCTTTGACAAAGAAAATCTATATAATCCTTTTTATACTTGACTCCCAGAGGTCAGTGAGATAATGAACATTCCAGCTTAATTCTAAGCCAGGTCTTGTTTGAAACTTTGTGAAAGTGTTTTGGAAACATCTAAGAACAAGAATTTTGATCTTCAGTGTCCTTATACAGAAAATGATGATTTTTGGTTTAAGAGTGAATAAAACAACATCCTATAGTCAAGGGATATTTATCAGTTAAGTGTAGAAAAGACTAAGCATCACATTTAAAATAATGATGCTAATTGATATTTAAAAATCATATGCTGTAGACATATTATTTGCATTTTTGAAAAGTAGAATCCTATATTAGTGTGAAAGGATATAACATGTTAAATAAAACACATTATAGGGGCAAGGGTTAATCATCTCTCTCTGTCTTTCTCTCTCTCGCGCACACACACACACACACACACACACACACACACACATGCACGCAATGGCTTAATAATACCACCTTTTTTAATAATTAATCTTCTTAAAAGAAAATTGCAGCAAAACCATTCTATTTCTCTTCCTTGTTACCAAAGTCTTAGTAACTCTGCAAAACTCAGTGTCCCTCCATTAGACTCCCAATGTAGGGTCGACTGCAAAATGTTTTCCAAGCAGTTTTTTTATAATATTATGGGACATTATTGTAGAAATATTTTAAATCATCAGGTATAGGAGATAATGTCCTGGCTTCCATTTCTTAAATAATCAAAATGTGTAAAGTACTTCAGGAGAGATTACATCTGTTATAACTTGCCTATGTGTTTTCTTCATGGATGGTCCTTTATTTTTGCCCTTCTCTTTCTTTGCTTAGCTGTGTGTGTAAAGTTGCCTCCCTGGCTGAGTAAATCTATCATCTCTTAGCTGTATGGAGTATGTGGGTCATAGTACTTTTCAGTCTAAAAGACTCTGCTCTGGCTGGAGTATAGCCATTCTTCTCAGCTGGCTGGTTGTGATTGCAATACCCTCTTTTAATGTTTCCACAGGTTCATTATTGGGCGAGAAAAACCAGGACAAGTGAGCGAGGTTGCCCAGTTGATAAGCCAGACCCTGGAACAGGAGAGGCGCCAGAGGGAGCTGCTCGAGCGCCACTATGCCCAGTATGATGCTGATGATGATGAGGTAGGACCACAACTGTTTTTTTTTTCTGAGTGTCTTACCATGTTGCTTCTGTATCACAGGGTCTTTGCAGTTTCCTAAGGAGGATGTCATCTTCACTGAGCTGAAATTTGACCTCTTGGAAGAGAAATATCACTTGTACCTGATGGTCTCTTATGAATTGATTCATGGTGTCTGGAATGCTGGGGAAGCAGAACCGTCTTAACTTTTAGCATACTATTGAAAAGAAATTTATAGACACAAGCAGAACCCATATAAATAATGGCTGTCTGTACTGTTGGAATTAGATTGTTTTTCTTTCTGCTTTATATGTTTTCAATCATTTCCAAATGTTCTAAAATTATATGTAATACTCTTTTTCCCTTTGGAAGAAGAATCAGTAAAACATTTAAGTGAACGCGCACACATACACAAACATAGACAGAAAATCACTGGAGATGGCTGAGGTTTTCCAGAGGCTCCCCACTCCCCCCAGGAAGAGAAAGTTTTTTGGATGTGCTCACAGTGATCTGTGCTAACATAAGGCAGAGCAAAGCATTTCCACTAGTACATGTCCCATGGCGCAGGTACATATTGGAATGATCTTGCGTCCTGAGCTCTGTAGAAGATCAAGTAAATGACTCAACACTAACCCCCAAGTGAACACGGCTCTCCGGAACCCTTGTGTGCTGTAATGAGACACAGACGCTCAACTGTTTCTAATGTCAATGCCAAATGCACACTGATAGGCTGGGACAACACACTTTATTACAAACACATTCAAATGTGCATATGTTTCACATTGCCACGTCAAAAGATTCATCAACAATTTAGTTGTAGTATTTCATACTTCATAAACGTGTAAATGCTTAGATAAAATAAATATTCTTTATGTCAGCTGATACAGCACAGTGAGAGTTCATACCTTCAACTTCTGCCCATTTGAATGTATTATTTATCCAGACTGTATTTTTGCTTTCATCTAGGACACAGAAAGAGATTAATGAGTGAACATTCAGGTCTTGTTCACGTAAATTTTAATTTAGCATGTCTTAACCTGAATATATATTAAACTTTTATGTGTTTATGGTATAATGAGGATACATTCTCCATATCTTATATTAGAAAATTACTTATGAATTAACATTTTGTTTTGTTTAATTTTGTTTGTTTCTTGAGACAGGTTCTTCCTATGTAGGAGCTGGCTCCGGTTGTCTTTGAACTCATAGCAACCCTCTTCCCCTCAGCCTCCCTGCTTCTGGGATTACAAGTGTGAGCCACCATGCTTGGCACCAATTAACTTTTGACAGAAGAATAGTATAGTAGAGAGATTGTCCATGACTAAAATAGTCTCTTAGAATCATTTCCTCCATTTCATTTTGCATTGTGGAATATATTTGACAAGAAGTTTCTTTTTGTTCTGGAAAACTGAGTCTTAAAATACATTATCTAAGATTTCAAAACTAAACACAAGAGCTCCTCAAATATTTGGCCGAGTTTCCAATTCCCTACCCTAGTGTTTATGTTTTATTAGAGGCTATGGCTGCATTTTCTACAGGTTTAGATTTTTGCCTCTACTCTGACAAAAGGTTTGTAACTATTGGTTTAGGGACTATGTTGACATCAAGTAGCAGAGAAAGAAGAGGCTCAGCTAAGACTATGTGTCTCTGTGGTTGGCTGTAAAGTACAGAAGTCCAGCTACATCTCAGAACTCCTTCCAGTGACTAATGGCTCACCCCTAGAAAGGAACCATGAGCCCTACACCTGGGTGTGGGAACATGCAGATAATCCCAGCCTGGGAAAGCACTGGCAGGAGGCCTGAGGAGCTTGAGTTCAAGGTCTGCCTGATACGATGTTGATTTTGTTTTGTTGCCCTGTGTCTAACTAATGAGAATAGGTTTGCAAGTAAGAGAGGGTCACTGAGATAACCCAGTCATTTTAAACTTCCTCCAGTAAAAGTTTTATGTCTCATAATCATGTTTCTTCCAGTTCTTTGAGGAATTGATTGATCACATTTAAGCTTCTAAAGTCTTTCTGTCTCTCTCTGTGTCTCTGTCTCTGTCTCTCTCTCCCTATATCCATTTGCTCCCTGTGTGTTGAGGAGGCAGAGATGGGGAGGGGAGAAGAGAAAGAGGTAGGGAAAAAGAAAGGGGAGATGGAAAATGATTTTCCTCTAATTTCATAGTTTGAACAAATGAAAGAATCGCTGAACATTTATACTTAGGAGCATACATCATACCAATTTGTACATGGTGTGGATTTTATTTACTTATTTTGCTTGAGAAGAACAAGTAAAGTTAGTTCATTGCCAATTGAGCATGTGTTTTAGGGGGACGAGAGTGAGTAAACTGTGATCATAAACTTTCCTAGGAGTCAATCTCACTAAACCTTTAGGGTGCTGGAGAGAGATTCTTTTCCCCCTTACAAATCCAGTAACCAGGTATCTATCTGTTCAGCTAGTGGTTCGCAGATTTCAGGATGGTGCTCTCTGTCCGGCCCCGGAGCCTGAGAGCCACAGTGCTTTATGATGTTGTTGAGTGAAGCACACAGGACGCCCTTCATGGCTCTGCCTCTGTTAAGACACAGAATAACTGGGGACCAAAAGGAGTTAAGAGGATTCTTGTTTTGAGAGATGGTGTTTCTTGTCGTTCCTCAGGTCTGTGAGCCTGTCCTGTGTTTCTAATATGAGGGACACTGAACACTTGGATGCTCGCTTTACTGTAGGCAACAATGTTTAATTATCATCTACATAGTCTAAAGAGAAGATTAATTGATACAGAAATGTTTTAGAGAAAAGATTGAGTTGAATGTTTTCTGCCTTTTATGAGTTGTAACAGTCACACGCAGAAGCTCAGTACTGTGTTGTGCAAGTAACCTTGACGTCCTGGAAGTCAGGTTTTCTCTTCATGTTCTCTCCCAGTGCTCTCCTTTCTTAGGTGCTCCACCGTGCCTTCCCACAGCAGGCAAAAGCAGCCATTAGTTTTCTGTTCCCAGGAGAGGTGAAAGCTGTACAAACAATGAGCATTTACTCCATTGTTAGAACTTCCAATGTTGGCACTTGATTCCGATTTTTAATTAATGCTACCAAATATTAAGTTGGAGGATTGGAGTGTTATCTCCGTTTTCTGTTTACTGTCTTCCTCTGTTAATGAAAAGTAAAATGACCAAGATGTGAGGGAAATGAGAAGGACCAATATTGGATATCCAATGGATAGATGGGCCTTGAATAATTGATTTAATTTCATATATAATTGAGCACTTTATTGATTTCCGTATCTTTGTTAGGACAGGCCTGAATATGTTATAGTCAGGCACAGGGCCTTTTGCTTCTCTTGTAATTTGCAGAGTCTTTTTGTAATTTCAAATTTAGAAGCATTTTATTTGCTAATATCTCCTGTGACCTTGGCCTGGACACAACCAGGAAACCCTCTGATTACACAGAGCAACCAAGTTCAACTAGCTACTTCCCAAGCGAGGGCTGAGATGAGCGTTACCCACAGAAGGGTGGAGTGCTTCTGTTTTTGATCAAATTATGCAGGGTTCATTTTAACTTGGAGCACATCACGTTGACAGGTTGCTTGAATTGGCTGTACAGGAAACATCTGGATGTGAGAAATATTTCCTGTGGTTGTTAAAGGACACTGGCCCTTTGTGAAGGGAGAGATTTTCGTGTATTACTTACGCCTCTGTTCATCTGCTGTAACGCTTTAGGAAATTATAAGTCATGCTCTAATAGAATTTGAAATGTATAGATAATCCTCAAACTATTTAAATTTCTGCTGCTTCTGCTTTTCTCCAAATATTTAAACTAGAAGAGTTTCCAATAAGCAAACAGCCAATTCTGTTTGAATTTGCATTCCTGTTTCTGGGCACTCTGTTAACCATTCTAATTTGAAAAAGCACAAGTGGCCTTGTCTGGAAGCCAAAGAATAGGAGGGGATCCCCCAAAGAGCAGGAGATAAATCTGAAGGCTGAAAGGTTCACATACATGTACATTTGTGACAGCATATTTCTGGGTTTATGAGAACTGCATGCCTACTGGGATTTTTTGTTGGTGTCCTTCCTTCCTTCCTTCCTTCCTTCCTTCCTTCCTTCCTTCCTTCCTTCCTTCCTCTTTCCAAAAAAGTGAACTCCATGAAAAGTAAACATGGAGGATTCAATAAACCTCTCAGTTAAACACTGTGCCATGAAATTCTGAGTATATGGTAAAAATTTCAAGTAGAATTTGACACCGTTTGATCTCCCATTGTAATCCATAGCTGTCGATGTGGCTAGGTGATATGCTGCTATTTATTTTGAGGAATGTGTTTGTATTTTTTGCTATATTTCTACATAAGAACATCATGCAATTTCAAGTGTTGTGTGCTCAGCATGGAAACAGAACTAACTGCAGTTGAGTCTCTTTGGTTCAGAAAATAAATATGGTCACACTGAAGTTAAAAGAAGTCAATGTACAAGTATTTTTAACATGATGTGATAATTTTACTTTCTTAAAGATCCTTTGATAATGGAGTATTTATCACTGTGTAAAGGTGTTTATCACAAATGACATTTCAAATTCTTTTTAGACAACAGATTATAACATGATTAATCATCACCAGAAAGCAAAGCGTGGTCTTAAAATACACCTTATTCTTTTCCTTTATTCTTTGTTTTTGTTACTAGAAATTTATATCATAATAATATTGTGACACTTTGTCTCTTAGAATCTTTTCATGTATTGTATGCAATTTAAAGCAGCTACGAACAGGAATATTTGTTTTTATTCCTTCTGTTAACACATAACAATTGGAAGCAAAAGTATAATGGAAATTGGGGTTGCTTGAGTATTTAAAAAAAAAGGCTTACAAAAGTAATTTGTGTGTGTGTGTGTGTGTGTGTGTGTGTAGAGACCATTATGGGCTAACACTGAGTTTGACTCAGGATGTTTGCTGTTCCTGGTTGGAAACAGTTTGCTCTATATGAACAAGAGACAGAAATGGTTGCTGCTAGTCTTTGAATGCTGTGAATATAACAATACAGAAAGACGTAGTCCTGTATTTCTGATCTGGGGAACTGAGCATGGAGGTACAACAGGCTCCTCTTGGTACTGGACAGTGTGTGGTCCAGCCAACACTTGAACCTTGATGTTTTTCTGTCCTGCTGTCTTGGGGTTGGGAGGAAGCCTCCTTTAATTGTTTCTGTCAACATTTTAGAACACTGTGGCTGAATTGCAAGGAATGTCTGGCAACTGCAATAACAATAACAACCGTTTCCTTAAGGTTTGTTTTTTGGCAGAAAAATCTGCTTATCTGTACTCTCTTGCTCAGTGTGTGAAATTAAATATTCTACACGTCTTATTAACTTCCTATTCCCTGAAAAGTGTTTCTGGAGCTGTGTGTTTTGTGTAGTGAATAATAATCTGAAAATAATAGTTTGAAAAATATAACATTCATTTTATACACCTGTCTGTAAGTAAGTTGGACCTACTTCCTAATATTTAACCATGGGTGTATTTAACCCCTAACCCTTTAAATGTTTTGTGTTTCAAATGAAAGAGAAAACTTTACAAAGAAACTCAGTATAAGGGCTGTATAATATTTATATAATATAGTTTACATAGCAATTTATTTCCTACTTAAATCTGTGTGTTTTGTATGAAAAGAATCTAATGATACTAAGTTCTTAAGTTTTCACTATATGTTTGAATGAACATACAGGATAGACAAACCAAAAACAGTATTGAACCTTAAATAGTCATAACAATAGTGGCTCTCACAGCAGAATGATGTGTGGTTAAGATGTTCGTGAGCTGATAAGAAGGACCTGACTCATAACACAGAATTAAACTTAATAGTGGTTCAGAGGCTGCAATTTTGTTGGACCTCTAAAATTTTTAAACTATATAGTTTTGTTTCTAAACCTCAGATTTTTACTGATCATCATCATTGAAACACAGAATCATGAGATTCTTAGAAAATAGGCTTCTGAAGACTGTATCCACCCCTTCACGTCATACCTCACTATGAATTTCAATAATATTCTTTGTGTATTACGCTGATCACAGGTAGTGAAAAGTCAGGGCCACAGACAGTAAGAGTGAGGACAGAAACCTTTGCCTCAGCATAGTCATCTCATTTTCTTTGTGTGGTTTGTAAGAATTATAGTAGAAGTGTTTTAATTATATTTTTCCTATCCCTTTCTTTCTAGCTGCCACAGTATAATATTAGTCATTTCTGAGCTAGATCCAAAAACAACAGAAAGCCTACTTTGTCAAATCCTTCTAGCCAATAAATTTATCTGAAAGCATAGACTCTGTCTGCCTAGCAGCCTGTTTGAGTGATTCTGTATCACACTAAAAACCACAGAGCTTAGAGTCAAAAGAGGTGCCATGGGGACCACTATAAATGATATTCTCCAACTCTGAAAACATTTATTTCATAAACTGAATATAACTTTTACCAAAAGACTTCTAAAGTGCTGAACCACAGAAAGAAATGGACCCTTGTACCCGTCACAACAGCTTGCCTTCCAATGGGCTGTCAGTGTGCTATGCCTTTTGTCTACCTTGACTGGTATTCACTGTATAGACTCTTAGTTTACCTTGAATATCTAGTTCATCTTGTTTGCCTTTCAGGGCTCTATTTAGGTTTCATCAACTCACCAGGCCCTTTGCAGCTCTCTCAGGAGCCAAACTCAGCATCTTTTGTATTTAATGAGCCAAGAGTACCATGGATATCACTACACTTTGTAGCTCATAAATATCTCCCATTACTGTATTATCTCATCAAAAACAAGTATCCATGATTAGATGATTTCTACTTCTCACAGGAATGACCACGGCCATGGGAAAAGTAGACAAAAATCAAGAAATTGAATTGAATTGAATAATGTGAAAACAGTAAAGATAAAATTGAAGAATAACTTTAATTTGCATTTTCCTGATAGCTTAGGATGTTGTACACTTGGTATGGTGGCACAAGCCTTTAATCCCAACACTTGGGAGGCAGAGGTAGAGGCAGAGGCAGAGGTAGAGGCAGAGGCATGTGAATCTCTGAGCTCAAGGCCAGCCTGGTCTACAGGGTGAGCTCCAGGACAGCCAGGATTACACAGTAACCCTCTCTTGAAAAGCAAAGCAAAACAAAAACTTTCTTAGCTGTTGGGTATTTCTTCTTTTGAGAACTCTCTGTTCAGTTCCATAGCCCATTTTTTAAGTTGGATTGATTATTTTGTTAGTGTTTAGTTCTTCGTATATTGTAAATATTGATCCTCTATCAGATATTTCGCAAAGACTTTTGTCCCATTATGTAGGCGTCTCTTCAGTTAGTTAATATTAAAAAAGAACTACATAGAATGCAAGAATAGAATCAGTATCACATAGAACAAGGCTAGAGAGTGGATGGATATGGGGAAGATGCTGGTAGCACAGTCATATTCAGCCTTGACACACTGTGACTTAGAACTTTCACCAGCTTTTGCCCTATACCACAGCAGAACATGACTTCTTACTTCCGTGCTTGCAGTAGAAACACAATAGTCAAAATAAGCTAAGTAATGTTGAGATCTGTACTGCACAGATGGCCTCCATCTACTTTGAAATGTGTTAGCTTAGAAATAGCTTTCGGTCATAGCAGTGATTTTCATGAGCAACAAAGAGTGAATGGCCACCCGAGCAAGGACTTGTATGCAAGCCTCTACATGGCAGCTGTGTGCCTGCCTCCATAAGAGATCCAGTCCTTTGAAATTGGCATCAGTGCTACACCTCTGAATTCCTAATTGTAAAGAGAGTTAAATGGTTATTTTATACAGATAAGGTTAACATAAGAGAGGGATACATAGATCTTAAATGTATAACTTAATATTTTTATTATAGCACCATTTTTAAATCAACTTCATTGAGGGGCAATTTGAATATGATAAAATATACCCGTTTTTAATGCATTTAAGCTAAGAGTTCGCTAAGAACATATTACCACCCAAACACATTGTAGGACATTTCTATTGTCCCAAATGGTGACCTTTGCAGTCATTCTTTGCCAGAAGCACCATTCAGTCTGCTTGATCATACTACAGGTTAATCTGGGCAGCTCTAGAGTGACATTTGAATGAAATAAATCTAAAGTCCTTGTTTTTATCTGGCTTCTTTCTTTCATCTTACCATTACATTTATCCTTAACACCATGATTGTTATTGGTTTGCGTTATTGTGGACCAAATCCCATGCATACTCTGAATTAAATGGCTAGTTGGAAAACTACATCATACAGCTGGAATGCCATGTGCTACTATCGCTATGGATGGAAGTAAATCCACCCCATGGAAAATCACTGGTAAGCATAGCTTATTGCTAAGTAGCAAAGAAGGAAACATTTCATGTGAGACATTATCATCATAGCAGCTTAAATATGTGATGAGTTTTACAAGAAATACAACCACATCATTTCTTGGGTGTGTTAACTTCAATCAAAGCGGACAGTTTCAAAGTACCAAGCTAAAAGGGAAACAAAATGCCATGTGTAACAAAGAGCAGTAGGGGGAGGAGAGCAAGGAAGGTGAGGGAAGGAGTGTGGATCTTACGGCGAAATAGGGAGAAAGAAGAAAGGAAAGAAAGATGAGGTAAATAATTTCCAAGCGGACCAAATTCTGCAGAGGTTCTGGTCGAAGACATAGGAATACTAGTCATATAACTTCAATGTTATACCTTGAGAGTATGAGATGAAGGAACTAATTAGTTTTAACCTTGGTCACAAAACCTAATGGTGAGAATGAAACCTAAAATTAAATTAAAATTATGTAAAAGCCACTTAAGAAAAATGACATCAAACTATATCTGGCAATATTTATCAAAGGTCGCAATCATGATTAGGAGTAACTGGGAGTGCCGTGTAGTTTGTTTCAGAATTGAGCTCATTTTAATACCCAACAGTGTGCTAGAAAGCAAGAAGAGGTGAAACAAATTGGGAAAGAAGAAATAAAACTACTACAGTTCCCAGATAATAAGACTGTCTATTTAGAAAACATGAGTAGTACCCATTATTCAACATAATACAAGGTTTTTAGAAAGTTTTCTGAATACTTGGTATTAAAATATAACATATATTTGAAGGTCTACAAATAAAGAACAACTTGTAAGTTTTAAAAATACGTTTCTAGATGTCAAGAAATAAAGGGTATGGAAGACCCTGAAGGGACAATACATTTTTATTGAAATGTGTTAAATTGAGTATATATAAGGCAAAGAAATTTCATCCATAGACCGAAAGCCTCAGAGCTACACTGAGTTAGTGTTCTTCAAGTTGATGAGCACATGCACTCTAGTTCTGGTGAAAATCTAAGGGCGTTTTCAATGGCTTTGGTAAGCAGGCCAAGGAGGAATCTTGGTACAGGAAGTGACATAGGTACTCTGTAGTAGCTGGAAAAAATGATTGACAAAAGCAAAAAGTGATGCTGAATTCCCATCTCTATCCATACATTCCATTGCAGATGGACTGGCCAATCAAATATGAGAAGCAGAACCCAAGAGAAGGAGACAAAGAACAGTGTTGATATGTCTTTAGTTTGAAAAAGAAAGTTCCATAGAAGAGCAGATTGAGAAGAGGGCAACATGTATCAAACAAATACTTTAAAGAAAGTGAACCATTAAGCCAAAAAGTAAAATAAAGTATTGAAAGTAGTAATGGACTCGATAGTAAAAGACCACCCGTGGGTCCCTGGCTTGAGCAGATATGTCACGAAAGAGGCCTTGGTACTGATGATAAACAACTCTGTTGCTGACAGCCAGAAAGTGGACATGGAAATCCAAAGTGAATACCATTTGAGACCTGCGGAACCAATTTACGTTGGATATTTTAAATTCGAGGAAGATGAGAGGTGCACACAATGTATTTATTGGCTCAGAAAAACATTTTGTTACTGTCAAACAAAATTTATCCAAACATTCTATCTTTTGTTAAACATCTTAGTAAAGTAAAAAATGTCATAGCTTACAAAAGATAGTCTTGTAACAGGAAAATAGAAGACATCTGACATCTCTGTCATCATGAGCATGCATAAATATGCTGATATAGTCACATGGGTCAGCAGTATGTGAGCGCTGTGTCAGCAGCTGACAACTGCTGTAGTATGAATTGTCCTACTGTGCACAAGGCACAGAACGATTCTGCCAAAATAGTGATATGCTGCTTAAACAAATGTGTAGTAAAACTAAAAGCAAGCAGTGGCAAGAATGATAAAATTTCTGCACTGGGGATGGTAACTGACAAGGAATCAAGGATACTCACCCA